TTTCCATTCCCTGCGTTTGATTATGTTTTGATATCAACCTATACATAGTTAAATGCATTTTGATTAAACCAAACAGAATTTCAAGTTGTTGTCACAATTTTGAGATTTTACAAATAGAATGTTGGTAATCTACTATATAGTATAAAGGTTATGTTCTATTATATTTTATATTATATCATATTATAAAGCTTTCTTTAAATCTTTTTCAGTGGCGTAGTGTAATTGGTTATTTTTCTCTATGATCTTGTTCAGTGGAAAATTAAGCATCACCTATTCCAAAATTCTAATTAATTACAACTTCAGCGCATTCTAGCAGTTCGATTATTGTACCAGTCAACGCAGGTCAGGCGAACATATACTATGCACTGAACTATAAAAATAAATCGGAAATGCCTCCAAATTATTTTAAGTTATCCTATTTGTCGAAAATACAGTTGCTTTAATTACAGGTTACGTTGTGCGAATAGGGTTTAAAAGATTCATTGCATATCTTGTTGCTCTGTTCTCTGCAATGGAAACTTCAACGACAATAGGCTTAAGTTAATTCTTCAAAAATAGAATGGCGACCTTATATTTCCTTCTCCCGATGTTGCAACGATTTGCAGTTTGACTGAAAAGATGTTTCGAAGAGCTATACATGTGTTGCCTACGGACATACCAAGATTTAATCATATCGTAGTAAATGCAGTATTTGCCAATTTAGCCACGAAAAATTTGTTTCCAGAACTACATAATCACATGTTTGATATGTCAAAAGAGGAAAATCATATACGTAGTCTATCAAAGACAATATCTTTGTGTTATATTAGGATAAAAATGTTTCTCGAAGGCAAAAAGATTACGAAACGCTGACAAACATCGGAAAAACGAAAGAAACTATCTCGCCATGACATTTTCTTAAATGTATAAATAAGTGTATAAATAAATACATATTATGTATGTATATACCGAACATGTGTATACTTTTCACATTTTGTAGTATTTAAAATTAAGAGTAATATATTATTCCACATTCAAATCAAAGGGCCATATTAGCGACTTAAGACATTATTTAAGACGATCTTAAAATAAGAACCGACTATGAACCCCGGCCTAAAAGTGTCAACGCTTTTCGTTCGTCTTTGTATGTTCGCCTTTTACAGTTCTTCTTCTTGAATAAAGGTGTTACAAGATTTTATCTCAGAATTTATTCAAGCGCCTACGGAACCATAATTCAACAGTTTCGCACTAATAATCCATTTCTGTAAGAAATTAGATTGAAACCAAGTCTGAATGTTCAGTGGATGTCCTGTGCTGTCTGGGAACTGAGCCCCTAAGTTGGGCCTTAATATGAAAATACCTAAGCTACGGTGGAATTCTAATTCCATCATGACATTACCGTGATGGAATCTTGAATTCATGACTACGTTTACACGCACTGATAAAACCGTTTTAGTAAAAACCATTTTAGTTAAAACCGGTGTTAGATGTCCTGTAAACGTTTCTTAATATCGATTGTTACGACCTAACTAGGTCGAACCTGAAATCCTCGTCGACATTTTTATGCAGACGTGCAAGTTATCGTTACAAAATTAAGTCACCTACTTTGTAGCACAAAGGAGGTGACACACAAGCAATTTTTGTTAATTACGCATAAATTCGGTCTACTTAAGAAATATAAAAATGTAAGCCTCGAACATCTCGGGGCCGTTCCGAAAGGTGAAGTGAGAGTGCGCGTCCTGTGAGAGTCTCTTTAGAATCTCTAAACCACAACACATTGTACAGTACGTAGACTTGTAATTGAACAATAAAAGCTCTTTGTACAACACGAACGCTGGCCTATAATTATTGGAGGGCATCGGGCCTTCATAAACCGACACCGCACATCCAAACTGTGGTTCTGCAACGCCCTAAGCGGCACGTAGTGTCTTGAAGATACTGCAGGTAACTGACTGACCCGTAAATTCTATAAACGGTGCCCGGAGCGGCACAATAGCACCCGGAGCGGTACAACACGATGTTAGTAAATCCAAATCTCTTCTAAAACAGCGTTTGGCGTTAACTAAATGGTTTTAAGAAAGCCGTGTAAACGGTATTCAATCGGTTTTACGTATCAAAATTCAATATTACCAACTTTAGACGTTAACTTTAGACAAACTTTAGCAGGTTAAGACAAAATAATCCTTCATCCCTTCCAGTGAACTTTCCCTCTCCCTTCCTTAGATTATAATATAAATTGATGCTTTTGATTGTGTGAACGGTTATAATATCTTGGTCAACAATAGCTACCTCACTTTTAGACAATGCTGATACTTAAAATTAAAATCTATTTGCTTGAAATTTTGTGAAGAAATAAATCTGCGACTTGTCGGAAGAATATGTATCAATATGAGGTGAGCATATCGAAAATTATTAATGACATAATAAGAACACGTTAGAAATTAATTGACATATAAATCTTAATATCTCGGTTTTTTTTGTTCTTTTCTTTTTTGGTTTTTCAATAATACTTGGATAGCATCTGATGATCACGTATTTGACGAGAATATATTTTTTATTTATAGCATTCTGATTTTGAGTTCTTTGCAATTTCACAATTTCTGCGTTGGAAATCTACTTGTTCGAATTCGTATTATTGTATATTGTAATTTTCATTAAATTTGCGAACGCGCGCGATTTTTGATATCGAGAGAAAAAATTTTTAGTTTGTTTTGTCAGATAAAAATTTTTTAACTATGTGTAACATTACCTATGTTCTTTATGTACTGAAGATGGTCAAATATTGACCGAAACGTTTACTGATTTTATAATAAATACATGTTTTAAGCAAATTACATCAAGCGTTATGGCTGTATGCTCTTTATTGTTTACAATTAAGGCAAAGGATATTTCGTCTCATACATCATCATACAGGTAAAATACGCCTGATTGTGTAAACAGGCACCAACACTGGTTTTAAATTAAACGGTTTTTACTAAAATGGTTTTACCAATGCCGTGTAAACGTAGTCCATACCAAATGAGTTCAAGATACCATCGTATTATTGTTAACCGTTATTATAACAAATATCGACAAACTAGAATTCAAGGTGCTTCTTCATGTGTGAAATATTGTCCTCATATGAATTATAAATTTGATTAATGCAAAATCGATAGCATGTTGATAGCATCACTTCATTATACATATAGCGTATATAGTGATCATTGTTTGGCACATGTTGCCGTAGTGTTGCCGTAAACATGCTATTACTTGCTAACATGTTGATGATAACAAGTTGCTTTTAAATTGCTGCCTTTAGAATTAGAATTCTATTTAGTTCAACGTGACAGACGTAATGCTGTCTCACCTTGTCCTGAGTTTATCCAAATTAGTTATTGCAACGATTTTCGGGAACGTATCAGCAAACTCGATGCATTTGGTTATCTAGAAAATACTTGTCTCTAAATAAATTCAACATCTGCCTAAATAATAACAAGTTGCGTGCAGGTTGCTGTCAATTTGTTTAAAACTGTTTTGTTTAAGTTGCCTTCAATATTGAAAAAAATGCCTTCCGATTTTGCCTATTATAGATTACCGACTTTTATTACCTCTAACTCTTATAAGCAACTTGACGGCAACAGTTGCCCTCTTATAAATCGATCGAATATTGTTAGAAATCACAAGGTAATATGATGAAAATAGTCTAACAGTTTTCACCTAAAGTCGTACTCTCATAAGTTGCAAGTAATATGGCGGCATTTTGACTGAACGAGTGTTGTCGTGCTTTCTGAACGTAAACGAAATGTGATCGAAGTCTTCGTTAAATTTAATAAGTTTGAAAACATTTTAAAATATCAGGAGATTTCATTTACTCGGTAAATATTTCAAAGAAGTATCATGTTTTCATCTTAGAGCCCTTGGGGTTCAATTCAAAAAATTATTCATTAGAACACACATCTGAAAAATCTTTTAATGCGTGCCTTATATTCTCCACATTTTTAAAATCAAGAAATGTAACTGGAATACTGGATTCCTCCCTTTGTTAGCGGTGCCGCATACTATTTACACGATGCGCCATCTTTATTCAATTGACAGAAATATGGACTACATATTGTGTGTGTCTGTAATGTGCGTGGATAAAATTGTAATTGT